GCTACATAAGTTATCACATCTTTGCTCCAAGACTTTTTTTATAACATCTCTTGTCTTTTTTGCTTCTATATTCTGACAAGTAAGTTTTAAGCCTTCTATTGCATCCTGTATATCCTTTTTTAATAGTTTCCAGGAAATTTGGGAAATGTTATATTGAATACAATAGTTTTCGATCTAATGATTAGGACTGAAAGTAGTATTATATTTATTAATCACCTTGCTAAGGGCTTGCAATTTGATTGGATCATGTGTACTTTCTGCTTTCTTAAAGAGTGCAAATAGTTGAAGAGCCCTCCAGTACTTGATGAATTCTAGCTATGCCTATGATGTTTTTCTTGGGAAGCAGATAGCTTCTTGATCATAAGCTTGTTATATGCCGCCCTACATATTTGTTCTTCGAAAGTCTTTCAGATCTTGTTTGCATGAGCTTCTCTTTCACCCTTCTTCAGTTCTTCTTTAAACAATGAATCAATTGTCATTCTGAATTTGTGATTCAGGTTTTACTGAATGCATTCCACTGTTCAAATATTGATCCCTTTATATCAATTCTTTGTTCACTCTTTGTGGAAGGCTTGCTTTTAGTATCTTTTGTAAAGAGATTGGTGTCATGCATTGTTAATACTGCATAGTATGATCATTTCCTATTGTTTCTTTTATACTTTTATTGTCGAATCTAAGTATTGGATAGTTTGTAAGGCTTTGAGATATCTATATATAATCAATTCAACTACTGTTAGTGGCATCTCATCTTGTTGAGGTTTTATCTTTTCCTTCTCATATAGTCTATATGTCTAGAAAGGATCATTTATCTAAAAAGTTGAATAGCAGTATTTCCAGGTACCAAGATAGTTTAAATTTAGCTCTAGATGTTGATGCCCTGTCTTTGCAAGGTTGTATGCTACATTAAAGTCTCCCATTACTATTATATGAAAGTCTTGTCTGTTCTTTTCTTTAATAAAGCTTTGTACCCTCTTCTGTACCTTTATACTTCGTTATTTGTCTGAGAGGATATAGATCTGGATAATACATATTTTGTTCTATTTTATGAGCCTATTAACTGCTATCATGTATCCTTCTGCCTCTTCTACTAAAGCTACTTTTCTTTTTAGATCTTTTTTTATCAAAAGACTAACTCTTGCACCATATGGAGTGTCTTTATTAGTACTATGAAAATGCTTAAAGATTGTTTGCTTCTGGAAGGTCCCTTTTGCCTTTGCATTGATTAGTTTATTTCACATAGCCCTATTATTTTAATCCTTGTTCCTGTATTTCTTCTATAAGACTATACTGGTTTGTACTATCAGTAATGTCTCTAATATTGTGTGTTCCTATTCTAATTACACTTTTCTTATATCATTCTCTTTTGTTTTTTTTTTATCTATTGGTCCTCTCTATTTTTCTCTAGGAATTTATCCTTTTCTATTTGTAGAAAAGTATCAAGATCTTAATTATTTTATTGCCACCTACTATTATTCTTCTCTATTTATCGTGATTTGCCCTTGTTTTGTATTTTTGACTCAAAAATAGCAGACTGACATTTCTTCTCTTTCTATAGTTGAACTGGTGCACCCTTTTAGGAATAGTTGATTTTCCTTTTGAGTGGACCTTTCTCTAGTTTGTCTAGTTATTTGCTAAGCTTCTCTAATATATTGCTCAGCTAGGTTACCTCTGACTCTTGCTTTACAATGGATCTTCGGCTTCTTGTTTCTCATCTTGTTGTTTGCCTTTGATGTTGTCTAATATCTAAGGTTTTATTATCTGTTTCTGAGAAATATTGTAAAGCCTAATAAAGGACTTGATTTGCTTCCTGATGTCTCTGCCTTCCTAGTGGCTCCCTATTACTATCAGTTACTGGTGATATAGATCTAATTGTGCTTCTCCTGTTTTCTGACTGACTATTGTTTCTTCTGAGTCTTATTGCCGGTATAGCTTTTTTTTCAGTTTCCATAATATCTTCATTACTTTCTTTATCTCCACTTACTCTATCTCAGCTTTTGCAATCTTGTTCCCTTGTTTCTTTAATTACTATATGTATATTGCCTGATCTAGTCGGATTAGCTGAAACCTTGTGATGATAATGATTCTTTGCACTCCATCCTAGTCCTTGATTGGTAATCTTTATTTGATGTTGGAGTGCCTCTCTTAGATTCTTTTCATTTTTGAAGTACACTACTCATAGTTTTCTGATACCAAGGTGATCTTGTTTTTTTGTATATAAAAGGTCTTAGCCTTCGTATGGCTTAAGACTTCTTCTATAGATTCTGTAGATAATTCATCAACTCCATAAAGTCTTAAGGAGTATCTTTTTCTCTTTTTTAGAATCTGAGTAATTTCTTGATCATCTTGTTCTTTGTGGACTATCACAGACCATACTTGATTGGATTTTATCATGATTACCTATTCCTTGTCCAAATTGATATATTTTCAGTAAGCATAAAGGTAAACTTTGAACCATTTTTAATGGAAAGATATTCTATATTTATGGATATTAATAATCTCTCTATATTCTTCTATTGTTTGTTTAATTATACGTTTATCAGGCTTGTGATCTATATCTATCAATGTAATATATTTTGATCTATTTTTAGCTAATGGAAAGTTTTCTGACTGGAAGAACTTTTTGTTTTGAATATATCTTTAGAAGGCTGGTCATGTGCTCATATCTTTGTCCATTTTTCTAAGTGTAAAGATTCAGCTTTTTTTTTGTTGACAGCTTCCAGACATCTTGCTGCATCTTCTTCTTCATCAAAGCCAAATGTAATCCAATGATTGATATTGATAAATTCTGTTTTAAAGGGATTTATTCACTTAGGTATCTTTAGAGCTCCTTTGAGATACGTAATTTTCTCTTTTCTATTTTTTCCTAGCAACATGGCTTGAAGTATCTTCACCTTGATCGATCTTTATTTTTTAATGAAAAATGGGTTTACTTTTATCCCTTGAACCCTGTTTCTTGTATTATAAGACATACTGTCTGTAATACAGTTTTCCTGCACTGTTTCTTTTAACACTTCTATTTTTATTTGTTTCATTACTTCTCTATCCTTCATTATGACTTTCTTAATGAAGTGTGTTTCTTCAAGTTTTGTAGAAGTTGGTTGAACTTCCATTGGGATACTTTCCATCATTAAGACTTCAATTTGGTTAGAGTTTGATGGTAGTATTACTGACTGGCTTGTTAACATATTATATACTTTTTTTTTTAGCATGGGTACTTCCAAATCTTCCTTTTTACCTTGCCCCTTTTCCCAAGAGTAATGATATATTGTCACAGTATATGCTCTTTTGCCATCATCAATGGGTTTATCTTCAATAGATTGACAATAATACTATCTAGTATTGAGAAAACATGTATTGACTCAGCAAGGATGTGGAGTTGATTAGTTGTTGTTGGTCTCAACTCATGTTGTATTATTTTTGTTTCTTAGAGTACTTGTTGAGGATCTTGATGAGATGCTATTTTTTCTAATATTTTCAATAGCTACTTTTCTCTTTTTTCTAGAATCCTGATTATGATTTGTTCTTTAATTGATATATTGTCATGTGATACACAAAAATTTTAATATGTGTTGTTATTATATATGTGTTTTTTTATACACGTGATCGGATAAATACTGTTATTATTATTTTTCTGTTTGATGTATATAGCAATATGTTGCTATATTAATATTAGGGAGTCTATGACATGTGGCTTCTATGTGTTTACAAATCTGGTATTTGTTTATTAACATGTAATTGGCTGTAATCAACTATTGATCTTGCTTTAGATATTACATGCTGGTTGATCACACACGTTCTAATTTGTTGATCTGTCACATCCTATTATTTTGTTATAGGTTGATCAGCTTGATTTGATACACATCAACTAGATAAAAAGTTAATGTATTTGTGCTCGCATGATATGAATTAATTAATCTGGAGTTGTTATGTTGTTGTGATCTTTTAACTGTTTGATCAAAAAGACTTGGATGTCCTCTTGGATTTCAGTTAGCTTTGAGATTTTACTGATTTATTGGTGTAATCTATTGCTTCTAAGACTTCTTTTAGTGCCTAGAAAGGTGTTAATCTGTACTAGCCTGGCTAAGAGCTTTGTGGAGTTGAGATTGAGTCTCAAGAAATCTACTGTGTATCAACTTATTTTTGCTTTTTCTTTTTTCTAAAAGCAGAAATAATCTAGGAATATCTGTTTTTTAAGCTGAGTGAAACTCTTTTCTTGTTGTTTTAAAGTAGATTTTGTTGTCTAGAAGTGAATAGTTGTGTCCTCTGAGGCTTGTTCTTATGTAGAAGAGTTTTTTGTGAATTTTTCAAGAAAATTATCATAAAAGGAAATTTTTTGAAAAAATGCGGATCAGCAAAAAGTGATAAAACTTTATTTATATTTTTATAAACCATGTTTTATATTAACTTATTAAAGTAAAATAAAATTTTTTCAAAAAAAAACAAGAAAATATAAGCTCTAAAAAATTCTAAATAGTTAAAAAAAAAAAATAAATATTTTTATTATAACATTCTTATATAATAGCTTACTTTAAAGACAAAAAAAACTTTCAGGTATTATATAATTGATTTCATTTTTCTTTAAAAACTTTTTATTCTAAATAATAAAAGTATTACTTGACTTTTCTTGATTATCAAAAGTAAAGTTTATAAGTAAAGAGAATTATAAATAAGAAGAAATGATAGTAACTTTTTGAAAGGATTTTTCAATTTGTTGCAAGAATCCAATACTCAATCTAATATTGGAACAAGGTTGATTATGAATGCATAAAGCAAAATTATCTTTGGGTTTTCCCCCAAAACCGTGAACATTGTGGTAAAATTGTAATGAATGGTATGAGCATCCCATTATTGAAGAAAAATTCAATAAACCTAAAAATAACTTTGACTTTTCGAATCATCAATCTGCAAAAGATATTACTTCTAATTTCCACAATCCCAATATTGTCAGCCAGTTAATGTCAAAAAAAAAAAAAAAAAAAGATATGGAGAGGTCAAGATTATCAAAAGCGTTTTATATCTGAATCAGATTCTTCTGATAGCGATTCAAGTAATTTATTCACATCTAGTTTGGGAATAAAAGTTAAACGTGTGCATAAGACCAAAGCAGTAGGCTCGAAGAGCCATTGTTCTGCAATAAGGAAACGAACGCCCCATTCTAAAGCATAAAGTAAAGGGTAAAATTAATTATCGAGCTTTTTAGCAGAGCTAATGTCTGATCTTATATATCACATCACGTTATAATGGGCCTCAGGGAGCGATGTCATGTGTTTTAAATCGAGTTCACTGTCCCTTCTTTATTATGGTCTTAGACCGCTTACAGAAAATATATTGCCGAAGAAACAATATATAAATGACCATTGTATAGCTGTTCTGTTATTAATTCTGATTATACATTAAGGGAACGTAATAATCATCACTACAATCACCATTACATATATGAATTAAGAGAGCGATCATCCCTATCTTTATATCCATAATAATATTTAATAGGATCATTGGCGATAGTAGCTGGTTTTAGCGAAGTAGGCACAAAGCAATAATAGAAAAAGAAACAAATCATTAACTATGTTAGTGGAATAGAAATCTGTATCCTAATTCTATGTAAACTTTACTTACTATACGTGGGATTAGCGGTCATGTATGTGTTATTATCTGTCTTGGGAACGTTATTATTCGTTTTTGAAGTATTATTATTTTCGATCTTAGAGATACCAGGGTCGTTGGTCTTAGGAGTGTTATTATCATTGATCTAGGAAACGGAGGGATCATTGGTCTTGGAGGTAGAGGAATCGTTGGTCTTGACGGCTGTTTTCTTATTACTGCTCATTTTTACGATCCTAAAATACAGAATAACTAAATATAAATATGTTTACAATCTTGATTAAATAGCACAAGAGAGAAAAAACGATGAATTTTATACCGTACCATTTCTTCAGTCTATTCCAAAAACCAAGGTATTTTTCGTTATTTTTCCGGTTAACCACTTAGTATGAGTCAGGTTTAGCCTGTGACAGCCTCCAGTAAAATACCCCTTAATTTCGACGATTTCTCTGTAAAGTAAAAAAGTCAGATCGAAAAATGCCAAGTCCTTGTGACATATGAATTTTGATAAAGCTACTGATTAAAAGTGATAAGTCCATGGCTCTCTTAATCTCATTTCGTGTTTTTCTCATAAGGAAGATATGACCAGTTTGTGTTTGCCACCGGTAAAAATAAGCGTCATTTGAACGTAAATCTCTCATGATGTATACTTTAATAACAACAAGGACAAGCGTAAATTAAATTTGGTAAAGAAGTAAGGAGGGGCAGACAGACAATCTCTATTAGTGCGTATACTAAAGGACCTATGTTGCGGGAAGTAGAAATCTCCGCAATCTCTGAGAAAGTCGTATGTCTGCCAACTTTGTAATGCATAATCTATGTACTATAAATAGTCATTCATTTTCTTATTCGCCCAGATACATAAACCGGCAGATTTTCCATTATATAATAAACAACGAGTTCTAATGATTCAATACCTTCCTCACTAATCTCTACATCCTCTACTTTGACGGAAGAAAGGTCAACTCGCACGGTGGCGGACGTTATTAAGGATCTAGATACGGAAGAACTTATTGATTATTTGCAGAGGCGAGATCTAAAGCTTAAGGAATCACATTTCGAAATGAAAAAATTACGGGGTCTGCTTTTCTCGAGACAACAGAAGAAAAGTTTTGCAGTTATGATCGGAAAGGGGACCAGCAACGGCACTTGCAAAATTTATTGATGATCTCAAAGAGCAGAAAATATGAAGTTTCTCGTCATACAAAACTTTGGATGAGTTAAAAGACGTGCTCCGCAAATATAAAGTTAACGGGGAGGATATAACGAGCATAAAACAATTCAACTGGGGTATTTAATATTTTTTCTTGGCACTTTTCGTGATTTTTAGTGACGGAAATTTCTTGGCAAAAGGGATCGTGAAGAATTCTTCACGATAGATTATCGGTTATATGTTAACATTTCTTTTTTATTATAGTTTTCGAGGTAATCGATGACAAGGACAAAGCCCTTGAAAAATGCATGGACGAAATAATACTACGGTTAACGAATGTAAAATCAATAATATAAGCCAACGAGGCGACCCGCTGTGAATTTATTTCATCAATTTGACATGCTTCGATTGTAATTACACGAAGGTTGACAGGTAAAGAGATTAACTAGAACTACAAAGGGATATTTCGGACGAAGAAGCATCCGGTAGAGTCGATCACTCCATATCAGGAATGGATGATCTTTTATGCATCACTGAGGGAAAACCACGAAACGTCAAGATAGCACGCCTACAGAATATCAAAAAACCTGAAAGCTCGTTCCACATGAATAAGAAGAAGCGAACGGCAGACGAGGCATTCAAGGGTGAGGAATACGATTATCCATATGGGATCGTCTCAATGGATTGATATTTTATTATGTTTACTTCTGATGGGATTTTCAAATAAATCTTACGAAAAAGCTACTTAAGAGAAATCATGAAAATTTTAGGGATTATATAGAACATGCAATCGGTATAACTGTGGGATTATTGATAGATAGGATTTCCGCTTGTGATGAACCCGAATTCAACAAGCGACGCGTACAAGAAAAAATTACCAAGAAATAGTTGGTACTGTATATATCCGCCTTCATGTATCTTATACTGTATCAATAAAACATTTAGACCTGGCTTAATTATTATCCGAGATTAATTTGTATGTATTTCTTCTGGAATTTAATGTTAATATTCTTTGTAGCGAGATCGAAGTAAAGTGGGATTCTAGATCGCGGAATTAATAGTGATTCTAAAATTTATTTATTATTACGGATAAAAATTTTCAAAATTTTCTTGGTATTTTTCGACGAACATTTCTCCACTGAAATTTTGTCTCATTACATTAAGTTCCAGAGGTCTACTTCATGTGATATATGCTTAATTTTTTCTCTTAGCTACGAAGTAGCCTCGCTTTACGAGTGGAATAGGGATCTTGCAAAAGGGATCGGCAAGTCTGACAATGACATTTTATCTATGATAATAAACGATCTTTTGAATGATTCGCATCTTACATAAAATAAGCTTTTAGCTGAGATTTCAGAACTTAGAAAGGTATATTGAGATTAAGGCTGAGAATACGAAATTGAGATGGGCTATGGAATAGAGTGCCGGACTTAAGACCAGAATTGAAGAGTTAGAGAAAAATATGACAGATACAGCAGTTGAGAACACTGAACTTAAGACTAGAGTTGTGAAATTAGAACAAGAGTTTATGTAGTCACAAAATGATATTACTCCCAATATTGGACTTGTCCAGATTTCACATAGTAAAGATATCCATCCATCCAAACCTAAATCGTTAGAAGAGATAGTAACTAATGAATTCTTAGACTCGGAATATGAGAAAAAGATTGGTAATGAGATAAGGCAACGCAATAGAGAGAAGAAACCTCAGCGTGAAATGGCTAACCAGGACTCATCTTCAGTTAATTATGGCTTTTCATACAGTACAGAGACCGATGATATTGTTAACATCTCGGATGAGTCAGGGACTCGAAGTTGTGCCTCCCCAGAATTATTACATGTAACAGAGGCCATTGTGGATATCTCGCAGGAGCAAACCCAGAAAGGTATTGCGAATTCCACTGTAGATTCAAACTTATCACATGATATAAAATGGGTAACATTGTTAGCGAGATAAGTTAGAGACCTTTAGTGTTATCTCGCAGAAGCAAGCCGAGGAATGCTTTACAAATTAAACTGTAGATTATAGCTTGGTAATCGATTTTGTTCCTCATCACTTCAGGAATCTATATATGAAAACAATGTTGAAATTAATAAAGAATTTTCCCAACTTCACAAGCATACCGGTAAGCCTCCAGAGTCTTGCACACTTATTTTATCCAGCGAGTGTTACAAGAAAAAATTCGATCAAAGCAAAGCGAGAAGAAACTTTATCCTTGGGTCGCTTCTCTGAAAGATTCGGAGACAAGGTCATAGAGATTAGATATGAGGATAAGAATCTTAAGGATAAAACGGCAAGAGCACTAATTTACGACAAAATGAAAACATACTTACAGGTGTTTCTGATGGCTATTTACGTGTGGTGAATTGCAAAGCAAGAAAAATTAATAAGTTATTTGGAGATGATTACGACCCTGTAACTCTGGAAAAGATTAATGGTATAGGATGGCATATGGTTAATCGGATTACTTGTACGTAGTGCTGACAGCATTTCAAGACTCATCAATCCTCAAATTTGATACATTGCAGATTATGTGACATCGAAAAACCAACCAGACTATTGCATCTTCGAAATCTGAGGTAAGTGTCTCAACTGCGGTGAGTATTCCGGCTATGAGAGAGCATTGAGCTTAAAACCAGGTTTGAAGAGTGGGAGGAAAAAAATAAAACGGATACTGCCAAGCTCACTGCCAAGAATACTGAGCTTAAAGACGGAGTCATGAAATTGGAATAGAAGCAGATTCAGGTCATTACTATACCGAAAGCATCTTCTACAAAAGATATTCCGCGACTTATCGACTCACGGAGTGAGGGCACTAACATTCCTGACGAAACGATTATTCCTGATCCCTACCTGAAATAAACATAGCCCGATTATTTCTGACTCTTTAACGGAACTTGAAGAATCGGAGATTCGATGCTCTGCACCACCTTCTGCAACCTCTTTATCACAAGATGATACATTTAAACAAATGTCAGAAAACGCGTCTGATATATCTGGTATCGCTTCAAATTCCGACGCATGACAGAAGTCGAAAACTTGTAAATCATTGGAAGATAAGGTGATCGATGAATTCTTGGATAAGGTGCATAAATAAAAGGTAAGTAATGAAATAAGAGAAAGAAATCGAGAAAAAAAGCTTCAAGAAGACTCAAAGACTCGGTGCAAAACATTATCAGCTATTCAATACCTATCATAAGGTAGTACAGAAACATTCTCTCGAAAAAGGATCAAGATGGAAAGACTATTAGTTCGGAAAACGATCAAACTAAAATATCTGAATTAGAGCAAGATGTCGAGTGTGATAAAAACGAAATCGCAGAGCAGGGTTTAATAGAAGAATTGAATTTATTCACTGATAAGCAATGCCTCATTGATTCTGCTATATATAACACCAACTCTACAGAAAATAAGGGTCCAGCTCAACATCTATCTTATTTATTTAAAACTGCAATCAAATCTTGACAATAGGAAATTTTAAACTGGTATTATTATTCCCTTTGAATTCGAAAACAGGGTTCATGTCATTACAACTATGGTAAGATCAAAGACAAAACAGCAAGAACAATGATTTATAAAGAAATGAAATCATTTTTCCTAATATCACCCAAGATACTGTAACTTGCGTAAAAAAACTCTTAGAGCTAGAAAACTTCTTATGTTATTCAGAGAAAATGGAGTCGCATAGATGAAATTAAGCTAATTATACATAGTAGCCGCCATAAAAAATGCGCCTCTCATGTTATTTATAATTATATTTTAGTATAAAAAGATAAAAAAAGAACAAAAATTTAAAATAATTTTATATTTAAACATTTAATAAGTTACTTTTACAGTATTTATACAAGTTTTTTTGTATTTAAAAATAAATTTGTAAAAAAAACTTGCCGATTTTTTTTATGTTTTTTTTTTTAAAAAAAATTAATAATTATTTATTACCAATCTATATAATTTCTCCTAGCTATAGTGATATCTTTAATTCTACGTGGCATAGTTTCAATTAATTTCTACAAAATTCTACTTCAATCGAATTCCATACATTATTAGCTGATTTCTATATTATTATTTCTATTTTTAAATTATATAAACTACATTTTATTTTCTTCCAAATGTGTTTTATAGGATTAAGATTGAGTGAATATGGTGATCAATCTAATATACAGTATCTATACAGTATTATTTTTTTAATCCATTTGCTAGTATATTGAGATTTGTGTTTAGAATCATTATTATACATAAAAATCACAGTATAGGATTTTTATCTAATTTATAATATTCTAAAGTTTTCATAAATTTATCTCATAAAATTTCTACATGAAGTTCTGAATCTAACTTTTCATTGATTCGAAATAAGTATCCAAAACCTTCCCAAGTCATACATCCCTAAATATAAATAGTTTCTTTATCAAATTTAACAGTTAATTTTATATGATGACTATTAATTTTTTTATCAAGCCTTTTCCATTATAACTCTTATTCATTTAGATTAATTAGTTAAAATTATGAGTTATTTGACCATATAATTTTACCTCAATCTTCTGCTAACCAATCTTTGTATTTTTTAACAAAATTTAATCTTAATTGACAATATTTTTTTTTGTAAGCAAGGCGTTTTTTTTTTAAAAAAAATTCTGGTCACCAATCTACATTCCTTTAATATTTGAAGTACTGTACTGTGATTTATTTTTATGTCATTATCAATAAGCAAAATTTTTTGATCAGAAATTGCTGTTGAACATTCATCATATAAAATTTTTCTCACACTTTCATTGAATGATGTGCACCAAGATGGTTTCCAATATCATGTAACGAATATCCTTCTTTAATTAATATTATAGCTTGAGCTTCTTGTTCTATAGTTAATTGTGGTATTTTTAAATTACAGTAATTAAAAAAGAATAATAACAAAAGTTTATTTTTTGCTAATTATGATTAAATATTTGAAAAGCTCTAATGGTAAAAAAAAAAAAAAAAATGCATAGAATTTACACAATAATAATAATAATAATAATAATAATAATAAAAATGAATGAATAAATAAATAAATAATGTATCATTGTATTCCAAAATAATTAGATAATTCTCGCTCATTATTAAATAAATTTAGTTAAGATATGTTTAATTAATTATTTACTAAACATAATCATCAATAATATTATACAATTTTAAGAACATCCGAAACTTTATTCTAGAAATAATAATAATTATTTTGATTAGCATATATGCATGGTTCATTTAATAATTATTTTGATTAGCATAATGCATGGTTCATTTTTTATAACGGTTACTGTATGTGAAGAGATTGACCAAGATTCTGATCCATCAGAAGTCAAGATACGTACAGGTAAGTGCATCCGATGACTCGCGGAGTGGGGATGCTATCGCAGCTGAAGATTCCAACTATGAATACGATTTTGAAAATCCCTTCGATAACAATGAAGATGACTCACGGAGTGAGAATGTTAATTTGTCTAAAGATGATGAGTTTTGCGGCTTTTCTGATGAATATGAAGGTCATTATTACGATTTAAAACCAGTGAAACTTATACAAAATCGGAACATCTTTATTCAACCCGCACATATTGATAATGAATAATTCCAGCACATATTATTAATACAATCTAATTTTCATCACTTAAAGACTAGAAATACGTTTTAATTTTAAATATATTTTTTTGTTGATGAATAACTTCACTAAGAATAAACATATCGGACATAATTCTTATAAAAATATCAATAAATTTTTTTAACATCTTGTACGTACTAACTCCGCTAAACTTCGTGGGTTAATGCGATAATCCCCTAAGCGATCCATTCATTCTTAGTTTGTGGATGATTTGAATAATTTTCTTCAATTAAGCAATGCAACAGCAAAACTTAAAAATAGGTGCTATTAATAATCAGAGAAATGCTAATAATACCTGACTACGTTTACTGTCAAGTTAAAAAATTATTCTGGTATCTTCTCCACCTTTACGTGAAATAAATGATGATTGAAACGTAACCACTCATCTTAAATAAAAAGAATCCGCAAGTCCCACAATTAAATTTCTAATCGGAATTTCTTTGCTTAAATACAACCATTGATTATTTTGAAAAGTCTGCCTTTTATGCTTTAACCGTTACTTTAATTTTCGTCATTGCGAAAATGAGCCCCGAAAATATCCATTTGTGTATAGCATTCATCACCATATGGTTCTACCTGTGGGACGTAAAGCAAAAATGTCAATGAAACAAACTCTCGTGAAACACTACTATCGCTGAACAAATCCGAAATGAATTCCCGTAATGCTAACTATGTAACGGAGACACCGAACATCATTAATATGATAAATAGGAAATATAATAAACCTACCAATTTAATTTTAGTCAAATTGCAATTGATTTAGAATCGATCAGCAGGATATTCACAATGTTTCAGAGAGGATCTGACCAGCTTCTTCATCTTTCTGCTCGTTCATCAGACCCGCAAAGCGAGGCTTCATCTTCTGCTCGTTCATCAAATTCCTCAGACTCAAGCCAAAGATTCGCAAATATCATTTCTGTAATCCAGGGACAGTTTTCAATATCCTTGATGCGAGAGCGAATGATTATACTTTAGATCAGATGTGTACTCTGTATCGGCTGATATTCTTAAGCTTGGGATGGATCAATTGAAAAGATACAATAAAGGGTTTTATAATGGGAATTGATAAGAAGCAAAAAATTTGAAAAAATAGATTCTTGGATACACAACAGTCATTTGCACCACTATTGCAGCAGGGAAGTAACTGCCATTACATGGGTTAGGGCTCGGCAGGTTTAACGAGCATGTGTTTTTTATGCCTTTCCTCCCTTGAAACATCCCGCTTCTCAATCATTTATATAGTTTAATTAGCCAATCCCTTACCTTCTCAGTTCATTTTAAAAAAGATATGATTTTGATTTTTTAATTATAAATTGCAAGCAATTTTTCTTCGTTATCTTGATTTCGCGCTGATCCATAGTATTTTATAAACATTCCATATTTCTTTTTTACAAATATCAAATAATGAAATATAAACTACGGTTAAACTACGGAATTGGTTAATTTACTTCGGAAGTTATAGAAGCATACGTATTAATGTCTTTTATTTTCACATTTTACAAAATAAAAGACTTTTTTTTTTTTAAAAAAAAAATGCAATATTCGAGAAAATAAATGGAATTTCCCAGTATAAAGTGTTACTTATTATCCTGAAAAAAGGGATCAAGGTCTTGACGCGGAATTTTGGTTCTCGTATTACAATCTTCTTTATCAGAGAATTTGAGTCTTTTTCGCTCTTTAATGACAGTAATAGCACGTTCTTTTCCAATTTTCTCAATCCCAGTCAGCTGAGTATAGGTCGCTTTATTAATATCTGGTGGTCCCATGGCATAATTATAGCACCGCCCAGCAAAAGGTTCAAAATATTCTTTCCAATTTTCTTTGCTAATAATAGCAGACATTGAGTTCTGAAGCTCAAGTCCCTTGCAAGATGTTGATGTATATAAAATAATAGTATCTCCTTGACTTGTGGCTTTTTTATATTCATCGTGGAATTTTTGTTGAGAAATGCTATCTTTTAACAATTTGCATTGGTGTGTTTCCATTCGCAACTGACCAGTATTTACCATCTTTATTGGACAAAAACTATCAGAATATTTAGCACTAGGTGCGTTGATCACAATATGTTTCGCTTCTGCAATGTCAATTTCTTCAGCCTGACACAAAATTTTTGTATCTTGGTTATAATCTCCAGAATTGGTGCTGACCCTCCCAATTGAATGTGTTAATGTAAGATTTCGATTGTAAATAATGGAATTTTTGAAGTTATGCTTTGCGCCATCATGGATAGTACAGAGATCAACTTGTTGTCCATCTTCATAGACATACGATTTTAGAGAGCGAAATTGTGCAACAAAGTACTCAAAATGTTGCCAGTATTGGCAGCCAGGTGGAATACTAGATTCTTCACTTTCGTTAAATACCTCTTTGTAATAAGCAAAATCCCAATTCCGTAACAAGGGATCATTTGCATTATAATGGTTTGCATGAGCCATAATCCATAACCAAATGTATGGACATGATAGATGACCATTAACTTGATCAGAATCTGAACTTTCAAACCGAATAAGTCCAAACTGTATCAAATGATCTATTATTATTTTTTTTCCGTTAAGCCCAGAGATGGTATCATCTTTATTAACAGGTGTATGTGATAGAATAATGCGGAGTATAGGTTTCAGATAGTCAGTTTTACTCGGCCGACCTCAATAATTTTTTATAAGGGTTGATCGCACATCATTTATTAGGTCGATAAAATTGACTTTGTTCAAATCTCTACCATTAAGTACTTCCGCCAAAGCTTCTAATGCACGTCCATGACCTCCCATATCATCAATAAACATCTTTATTACTGGATTATTAGCAAAAACTGGCCTGTTATTTATTTCTGAAGGTTTCAATGATGTACTTGGAAGAAAGATTCTTAATTGAGCTGAACTGGCAAGGAAATCGTGAATGGGCATGCTAATCGTAGCAGTACAACAATTAACAATAAATGGGTCAGAAATCGAAAGGATGCCAAGTATAGAGATGCAATCATAAAAAAAAGACCGCTCATCCTTTCCATCATCGAGGTTATTCAATGCCACCCGAAGCCCATCCAGAATAATAATTACGTTCAAATCACTGAATTTCTGATTGCGATATTTGGAAATTCTCCGCAATACATCTGGCGTTACATCATATCGATTCTTAAAATCATCCCAAGATTCATCTGGCCGTTGTAACAATTGAAAGAGCATTCGATTACCAATTGCATGTGAGCTATTGGTTTCTACCATATGAAGTAATTTAGTCCCATTTTCAAACGATATATTAAATACAAGAGCAGTCTTTAGTCTGTTCTGTAAGTCAACATCATAATTTGAATATTCGATCAACAAATTCGGCAATTCCTGTGCAGTACGAGATTTTCCTTCACCATCTCCTGCTAAAATGAAGTATTGTGGTATTTTTATTTTGTCAAGTTGTCCAGCCTTCCAAAATTTAAAATGATCACAAATAGCATTCATAAGATTTTGTTTCAAAGCTTCTGAGGCTTGAAAGTCCAAAGAGGAACCACTACTCCTGAGAAGAGGTTGGGGATCACGATATTTCAATGTTTCAGGCATGTTTCGTGCTGGAAAAAGAAATAAATCAGATATTTTTCTATTGTAATTTCCTTGTTTGAGAGGTAAACCATCAGGAAACACTTACCAGTGGTGTTGGGTTGTTGTACAATTACTCGGATGTAAGTACTAGATTTATCAAAATGGTCATTTATAGTTTCGAATGAAGCCAACTCTTCACCTCCAAGTTCTTCTTTAATGTTAATTTCGACAGATATTTTCATTTTCTGGTTTTCTTTGCTTTGAGGAATACTAACTTTCCATAATCTCAGTTTGTTTGCAGGAGTGTCAAACCTCGCCTCCTCCTTGATCAACTTTTTGAGGTGCCCAACGGCCATGTCACTTATGACATCAACAGGGAAAGAGTTCTCGATGGCTTCACCTAAAATGACGCAAAAGACCTGGAAACTCATTAAAAAATATTATAAAATTATAGTATCAAAATTTCTAATACCATGATTTCTGCGGTACCGGATAACATTGCGTGTATAAAATTACTAATGTTCTAAAAATGGTTAGCGTGTTCGTGTTTAATGTAAAAAAATGTTTAAGTAAAAAGTATGTACATAACGTATTTATAATTAAAACTCCGCCTCTTATATTTCTTTCTTAAAAATTCTTATCTAAGTAGTTAATAGTAAAAAAGCTTTTCTAAAAAAAAAAAAATCAAATAAAAAAATACTCTTCTTTTTTTTTTACAAAATTTCAAAGTTTAAGAAGAAGTCAGGACTCTAAACTCCATGCCAACCTAAAAAACTAATATCTTTATTACCGACAGTGACTTCTTTTTAGTGTGTAGTAATCTTTTTTGATTTTTGAAGAGATCTTGCCTATTATAAATTGATTTTAATTTTTTTATTATATCAAAATTTGAATATATTAATTGATTGAAAATTTGAATTAATTGCCTTTTGGTTATAAAAATATAAATAAGAATATATATAAAACATAATATAAATACACTATATGGACAAAAGTATCACACATCTTAAATTTATTATTATATAAAAATGTATATAATAACTTTATTTAAAATTTTAATA